GGCCAGGGGGGGGGAGGGAGGGAGGGAGGGAGGGGGGAAACTGGGGGGAAGAGGGGCCGGCGGACCGTGGCCGAAGCATCAGGGCTCCGTGGGATGATGACGGCAGTTGCGGTGGTGGGGCTCTGCCACTATGCCATTACGGTAACACAGCCACGGATGCCTTACCCATTAACGGTAACAACCCTGTCCTGTCCCGGGTGACTGCGGGGGGGGGCAAAAGCAGTCCGCGTTTTCCACTTCCCATTTAGCTCCCAAAGGCTGCAACCCGCACCGCGGCGTAGCACACCACAACCCCCCTCGGACGCCCCGCGCCCCATATCCCGATTCCAAGCCTGCCACGTCATGCGCCACACCCTGCCCTCCCCCGGCCCCCGTAACCCCACACCGCCCCAAAACCCCTGTTTGGCCCCGCACCGCACCGCACCGCTTCCGTCCTTCCCCCTCCCCCCCTTCCTTGGCAGCAGCTTCACTCGTTCGTGGTTTGCCTTTCCCCCCTTAAACCCTCCCTTAAAACACACCCACCCACACACACCCCACAGGCCGGCGCCCCGGTCACCTCTCTGGACGCCTCCCGCACCTTCATCGTTGCTGGTACCGCCGCCGGCTACGTGCGGGTTTGGAAGCGCCAGAGCGCCGTGGACGCCACCTTCACGCAGTTCTTCGCCCCCGACCTCCAGCTGGACAGCTTGCCAGTGTACTGCGTCAAATTGGGCCCTTTGAGGGGCCAGCAGCACCCTGGGGGAGGGGGAGGAGGAGGAGGAGGGGGGGATGGAGGCGGAGGAGATGTGGTTATGGTGGTGCACACCCGGGGCAACGGTCGTGTGAGTGCATGGCGACTGGTAAGTACCGACTGCCATTGCAAACGGGCTGGCAGCCTGGGAAATATCGCGAGGTTGGGGGCGGGTGTGTGTGTGGGGGGGGAGGTTCGTATGTGTACAATCACGTAAACCCTAAGTCGTACAATACATAATCCTGCGTGTGGCAGTTTGGAGGGGTGTCATCCGGGTGGCTGGGAGCGGCGGATGGGGAGTACGGGAGAGTAAGGTTTGTGGAAATTGGTGGACTCTCTCTCCCTCTCCCTCCCTCTCCCTCCCTCCCCCATATTAGAGGGACAAACCCCGACTGGTTAACCATCGTGTTTTTCTTAAGTCCCCTGCTGCTGGTGCTTTGGAGGTAATTGGCAGCCCATGACCCTTTTTCCCTTCCTTCGCATTGCTCCTGTAAACCCCAACCCTGGACCCCTCCTCGCTCCCACACACAACGGGCCCCCCCCTCCCCCCTCCCCCCCCACACACACACTCATACCGAATTTCAGAGTGATGCCAAGATCATCGGCACCCTGGGGCGCAGTGGTCCGCCGGACAGCCCCACGGCGCTGCTGTCCGCCAACGTGCAGCACGCCTGTCTGGCCCGGGATGTGCTGCTCACGTGCTCCTGGCTGCCGGGGGCGGATCCCCTGTTGCAGTGGGTGGGTAAAGCGGACGAGGGGGGGGGGGAAAATCATGTGCAAGGAAAGGGGGCGGAGGGTTGGGGGGTATGGGAAAGGGGAGGGGGAGAGCATCGCATGCGCGCTAAAGCCAGGAAAGGGAAGAAACAAGAGTCGGCGTCTGTCGAAAGTGTGTGTGTTGGGAGGGGGGAAGTCTAAGGGCGGAAATGGGAACTTGACTTTCGAGGGTTTGCTCGATGTTGGAATCCGCAAAAGCCCTGAGTTACCCCCCCCCCCTGGCCCCCCTGGACACCTTGACCTGCAGATTCATCCTGTTCAGCGGCAGGGAGGTGAGGTACCTGGCATCTCCCACCACCTTGCCGGGCTGTCTCGGCCGCTGAGCTGCGACTACGACGGCAACATCATTGTCATGGGCTGCGAGGACGGCACGGTGGGGTGCTGGGGGGGGGGAGGTGCATCACCCCCAGTCATAGCACCAGCTGCCGCCGCCGAAATCGGTGCTGGCCGGGTGTTAGGGGTGACGGTTGGGATGTAGGGCCGCGTCAGCATCTGCATCTGCCCTGACTGGCATTGTGGTGGTCATTGTGGTGGGGGCGCCGAACGCACGGGGAGTCCGGCTCGGGTGGAGGGCATCGACCGAGACCGCGGGTGGAGCCAGACCAGCTCTCCTCTCTCTTTCCCTCTCTCGGCAAGTCCTCCTGCGCCGGCTTGCCAGTTCCTGCTTCCGGATTCGCGTCCGTTTTCCCCCTCTCCCTCTCCCCTGACCTGACCTGACCTGTCATGGGTCCTCTCCCACTGGCGTTACCAACCGCTTGGGACTGCGTCAGGAGCAGTGGGTGCTGTGGACGTGTGTGTGTGTGTGTGTGTGTGTGTCGGCACAGTTCAGCTCTTTTCCTTGCTGGGTTATTACCCTACGTAAGGGTGATTTCCCTCCTGCCCGCCCGCCCTCACTGCTGTCGCTGCCGTCCCCTCCTCTGTTGCCGTGTGGTGCTGCAGGTGTGGGTGTGGGGTTTGACGCAAAGCCAGGACACGGAGGTTGGCGGAGGCGCCGCTAGCCAGCAGCAGGAGCAGCACTCGGTACCTGACGTGTCCCACTGGCGGGGCTACCACCGCGGGGCCGTCGGGGCGGTGGCCTGCCTGCCGTACCGCGGAGGCCAGGTCGCCTCCGCTGGAGCCGACGGCTGCGTCAGGTTGTGGTCGCCGAGGGGTGAGCTGCTGGCGGTGGCGCGGCTGGGGTGGCAGGTGACGGCGCTGGCCGTGAATGAGATGGCGCTCGTCGTCGGCGGCGCCGAAGGCCAGATCCAGATTCTCGTACTGCTAACGGACGAGCAGGCGGCGACGGCGACGTCAAGGCCTACCGAAGCGGAGCGGCGGGAGGCCCAAACGCCCCCGACGGCGACTGGAGATTCCCCGGCTCAGGGGTCGGTGGTGGCGCAGTACGCCTACTGGTTCGACGCACGGTCACCTAAGGCACGGTCAGGGAGCAGAAGTGGTGGCGAAAGCGCGTCGGCAGGGTTGTGGGGGCTCGCGTCTGAGCATCCCGACGCATTTGCCGCGTTCGTGCCGCCGCGGCGACAGGTGACGGTGGCGGATCTTCAGCAGCAACGGAGTCCTATGGGTCAGGTGGGGAGCAGCGGCGGCGGCGGCGGTGGCGGCGGCAGCACCGCCGCTGAAGGGGCAGCAGGGGCATCTGACGGCGGCACCACCGCCGCTGTCACCAACGGTAGTTGCGGTGGTGGCGGGGTCCCCGGCACGGCCTCCTCTTTTAACATGCAGGCGGCTCTGAAGGGCGCGCAGCGCAGTGCTGTGGAGCAGGTAGCGGGTGCGGGTGCGCGGGCTTGGTGGCGGGTGCAGGTGGCGCGGGTGCAGGTGGTGTGGGGGGTTGGCCAGATGTTGGGGGAGAGCGTGTGTCGCATACGACGGGGTCCTCCCTCCCTCCCTGATAATTCGTCTATGCCAGGATCTCCGTCCTCGTGGACTCATGCAGGAGCTGTATGTTTTACAGACTCACATCCTCCCTATTGTAAATCGGGCCGTAGCTACTCTCCAAACAAAATCGGAACCTCCGCAAATTAACACCAAACCGCGCGCACCACCCTGTAACCCCCCGGCCCCCAACCCCCTTTCAGGCCGCAGCCCAGGCGGCCGAGGAGGAGGCGGCCAAGCGAGCCCAGCTCCGGGCAATGGGTGAGGGTCCGGGTGTGGCTCGCAGCCGGGGGCCGGTGCAGCTGGAGAGCGCCACCTCCGCCACCATGGGCCGCAAGTGCGCCAACCCCTCATGCTTGCAGCGGGAGGGGCTGCTGGCGCTCAGACAGCGGCAGCAGCAGCAGGGAACAGCAGGTGGTGGTGGTGGTGGTAATGGTAATGGGGTTTTTAAGCGCTGTGGGGCGTGCAAGAGCGCGTTTTACTGCTCGGCGCATTGCCAGGTGGGTGCAGTGGCGATGTATGTGGTATACATCGCGGGAGGGTGGGGAGGGGAGGGAGGGAGGGAAGGAGTAGGGCTGCCGGCGGGAGGGAACGGAGGGAAAGGGGGCCCTGTGGCTGTGTGGGTTCAGGGTGGGGCAGGGCAGGGTGTTGGGTGTTGGGTGAGAGCTCTGTCAGGCGGCTGCTCTGCGTCTTGGCAGCTCCGTCTTGGCAGTTCTTACGGCACAGGGACACAACTTTTGGAGCCCCTTGGCTGGGGCCCATCTAGGGCGCAGCCCTTTGCGATTCCCGCAGCTTTCAAGCTGGCAGTACAGCTTCTCTTAGTTTAGTAAATCCCTTTGTAACATATCCTTTATTATCTTGTCCTGTGACATTACATTAATCCCCTACCCTACTCTCCCTCTCCACACTCTATCTCATACACTCTGCCTCACTGCTTCACCGCCTCACAGGCCACACACTGGCGGGACGGACACAAGAAGGAGTGTGCACTGCTGGCGGAGGCGTGGCAGAGGCAGCTGCAGGAGCAGCAGGTGCAAGAACAGGAGCCGCTGCAGCAGAAGCAGCCGCAGCAGCAGACGCAGCCGCAGCGGACTAGCGATGCAGAAGACACTCGGGCAGCAGTGGACGTCGCCTGCACAGCGGTAGACCAGACAGGTTTCGACTTACGGACTGGAGCTGGTGATGCAGCCAATGACGGCAGTGGCGGCAGCGATACCGGGCCCACATCCTGCATGCATGGATGCGGCGGTGAAAAGGGGAATGTGACCGCTGAGGCGGCCGGGGCTGTAGGTGATGGTGGAGGCAAGACGGCAAGGATGGTTGCCGTGGGCGGGACAGGGGACGCAGTAGCGGCGGTGGCGGCAGCCACAGTTGTGTCAGGGGCAACAACACCAGCGGCAGTGGCGGCTGCTCCGGAACCACCAGCTTCTGTGGCCGGCCCCGTGTGGTGTTGTGCGACTGCTGACTCCTTGAACGAGCTGGACTGACAGACGATGTGCATGGGCCGACATGTAGACAGACGAACGTATGAGTGAGCCAAGCGGATGGACTACGATGCGACGTGGCACATCCCGTCATGCTGGCGGTTGTTCGCTGGCGGTCGACCCTCTGCTGCTCGCATACGAAGATGCGATTCCTCCATCTGCTATGACGGACATACAGATGAACGGATGGACAGATGCACGAGGATTACGTTCTGATTAGGTGCAGGAGGGTTGTTATATTCGAAGTTCCCCTTGGGTCCCTCCACGTTTCGATGCTTTGAAGACGCTTCCTCAGCAGCAAAGTTGCAGTAACCCCCGTACAGACATGCGCATGCATATCTCAGCCTAATGGTTCCAACCACATCCAAATCAAAAGTCATACAGCAACGTCTGCGCACTGCTGCAGCAATAATTACACCATCTAAACTCTTTTACCACCCAGCCGTTACAGCTGCACCAGCACATTCACATATCAACCAGTCGTTGAGAGGGAACGAAGGATGGTATTTCCGTATGTAATAGCTGCGGGCTGCCCGTTTCAACGGCGGCCGTTTGCTAAGCAGCTCGCAGCCATCGTAGTCGGTGGACATGTGGCGTAGACCTTCAGGAAAGCAGAGACCTTTCGCTGAGCATAAGCTGCACCAGCTCCGCAAGCTCAACCCCATATGTTGTACAAGCTCTTATGGTGGGCTCGATGTACCATAGCAACTTTATTGCGTCGCCGTCCTCCAGAGAGAGGCTGATAGAAACAGGCTGAGTCATACTGTACGGAGCGTCATAGGCAGTACATTTTTTGTTATGATGCATACATCATCGGCTATTGTGACGTGCCCTCCGTGCAGCGCGGCCACGTCTTTAATTGAATGCCAACGCAAGACATTGTCACGCTCTTACACCGACCTGACGAATGATATTATCAACGCGTTTGCTACAGCTTGGAGATATTTAAACCATGACACTTGTTACCACATACTGGAGACTTGCAAGGCGACCGCAAGGATGGCTGCATGGCGTCAACCGCTGCTGCTTCAGCCGTTTGTGCAGCTGCTGCTGGTTCATGTCCGCCTCATTCTTGCCCAGCAAACGCAGTATATTAATCCCATAGATTTTCTTGCGACCTCTTGCCTTGGTCTGGGCGACGCTACGATGCCCTCGGCATTCTGCTCGCTCGACCCCGGCAATTGGATCATCCGGTCGCCATATCCACCTGCGTTGCTATCAAAAAATATGACTACAATCACAGGCGCTGTATCCGTGCCACAATTTGCCGGTGCCGTAGATATTACCAATTACAGCACGCAGCTGTTCCTGCCGGCCAACGCTTCCGAGGCCTTGTTCCACGTCCCTCCCAACACTACGGTCACCCTGTCGAGCCTGCGTATTTTTGGTGCATTTCTGCGCGTCCCAGGGCAACCCGAGCTCCCAGCTCCCTCCGCCATCTCCATAGGCATGGGTGCACGGCTACGCCTCCTCAACCTCCAAATTTCCACTACCTGCGAGTCCGTGTTCGCATATCAACGATTTGCTTGCAGCCAGAGGATGCCTTCGCCCAATTTTAACATCGATTATGGCACCCTAACTTTCTTATCGTTCTCTTCACCCTCTCTGGATCTCGTCAATGTCACCGTCTCCTGCACACCTGGCGGCAAGTCCACGCCACCACCCTGCATCTCCGTCGTCGCTTCCAGCGGCCCCGACTTACTTCTCACGGTCGAGGGTCTACAGAGGCCACCCCTGAATGCCCAGGTGCCGATCTTCGTTTACATCTCCCGCAACTTCTCCCTCCTAACCGGTGCCAACAACGCGGCCCCCTCCGCCAGTGCCGCCGCTGACGCCGCATCCCCACCACCATCCGCATCACCCCCGCTGCCGCCTCCGCCGAGCAGCCCCAGCATCCTGCTAAAGCAAGATTGGCTCAATATTTCTGGCCCTCAAGATGCGGTCATGCAGCTGGATCTGACCGGCAGCGAGTCTCTGATCCAGCTAGATACCAACGCACGTGTCGTACTGCAGGATCTGGGCCTTATGGGTCTCCCACTGGGGCCCTCGAGCAGCTACCCCCTGGCACTGCTGCGCGTCCCCCTCTGGACGTTTGCCTTTCCGCGCCTGATGATCGGCACAATATCGAATCGGCTGACGCTGCGAAATCTGCGACTGTCGGTGACGCCGGTGGAGCTGGCGACGTTGGCGTCGGACGCGACGGCGCCGGCAACAATACCGTTGCAGCCGTCGACGGACGCCGCCACCTACGGGTTACGCCTTTGCGCGCGTGACATTGAGTTTTTCGGGGAGTCACCCAGAGATGTCCAGTTGCTGGAGGCGCCGGTGGACGATAGAGGCTCCGGAACCATGGCCGCGACCGCGGCTGGTACGGCACCGACGGGACCTTCACTGCTCATACGGGCAGCGAAATCGCTCTTCAACTCCATCATCACCTTTGACAACGTTACAATTGAACCGACCAAGCCATGGACCGGCCAACAGCTTGGCGGCGGCGGCGGCGGCAGCGGCGGCGGCGGTGGAACTGGCAGGGAGTCGTACTACGACGGCGATTGGCGTCGGGAGCCGCTGTGCCAGCTACTGCCGCTGCAGCCTGACGATGACTCGCCGCAGGAGCCGCTCGAAGTTCAACATAAACTCCTCCCTTTATTGGAATCGAATTTGTCGCCGGTGCTGTTGTCGGCCGGGCACTCCAACCGGCTGTGCGTTTTACTGCAACGCGATGCCAGCTTGCTGACGGGGCCGCCAACGCCTGGCAACCCTAAGACGTTCTCCCAGTCGCAGTCGTACATTGATGGCGCGGCGGTTTTGCTGGGCGATCCAGTACGGCCGCGGCTGCTGGACACGCGCCGTGTGGCCGCCGCCGTCAATCTGCAATTCGAAGGGGCGTCGCTGACGCTGCGCAGCTTGGTCCTCATAAACCTGGCCGCCGCCGGGCTACATCCGCTGAGTACGGCAAGTACGACGACTGCAACCAACGTGGCGGAGAAGACAGATTCTTACGCAATGGTGGGGCGGCGAAGGCTGTGGATGGCGCCGTTGACAGCGCCGTTGCCGTCGCCTCGCAGCAATGGGCCCGTCGCCCCGCAGAGCGGCTGCGGCCGCCGCCGCCGCAGGGTGCAGTACGAGCAGCAGCCGCCACCGCTGCCACCGCCGCCACCACCGCCACCGCTGCCAGAGCCGCTTTCATCTCCAAGCCAGAGTATCAGAGCACCTGCTGGTACGGACCCCACTGCCGGCCTACCAGCCGGCCTGGCCAACTTCACGTCGTGTCTGTGGCTGTTGGACACCCCTCGCAACGCCAACATCGGCCCCCTCAGCCGCGGCCGCCTGGACTCCGTGGTCCTGGTGCTGCCGCGTGCGGAGGTGCAGCTGTTCGCCTGGCTCACCACCCACAACGATACGGCGGCGGTGACGGATCCCCAAGTGGCGCGGCAGCTACGGGATATGCTCGATCGCTCTGTCGTAGATGGCGTTACCGCTGGCGGCGCCGCCGCTGCCGCTGGCGGCGGCGGCGGCGGCAAGTTGAGCGTCACGTTCAAGATCCTGTACTGGTGCGGTCTGACTGGACGCAACGTGACTTTGGCCGCGGCGTGGCGGTGGGACGGCGGCGCCTCTCCGTCGGCGGCGCAGACCGTGTTGGATGACCTCATGGAACCGCTGAGGGACTTGACGCTGCCGGTGCTGTACACTGCTGACGCCACCGCTGCTCCATCGCCGCAGTCGCCGACGGTGGCATGTGGGGTGGCGGTGACGATTGATGCGGCGGCGGCGGCGGCGGCAGGGGGCTGCCCGCCTGCGCATAACGTATCTGGCGCCGCCCCACCCGCTGCGCGAGAAACCTCTCCTTCTGGAGTGACGGGCAGCAGCGCCCTCGAACCACGGGTCGTTATCGTGGCGGTGGTTTGCAGTTCAATCGCTGGGTTGCTGGCGGCACTACTGACCTGCGTCGCTGTAATGATCTGTGTACGATGGCGGCGACGGCAGTGCCGCAAACGCAGGGCGGCGGCGGCGGCGGCGTCACCGGCCCCGCAACAGCGGCAGCAGCAGATTGCAGTACAAAAGCCATTAAGCAAATCCCGTAACGGCGGCTTGCACGGCTCGGCGCCTCCGTCGTCAACATGTGCTCCAGCCCTGGCGGGAGCGCCTTACGCCGCTCAGTCCTCGACGCTGGCGACTGGCGAAGAGAAGTCGGTAATGGCGGCGGCGGCGGCAATGGCGGCGGCCGCCAAGCAACAGCAGCAGCTACTGGTGGGCCAAATCGCCGTGGCACTTCACACGCGAATGATACGAATGCGAGACGCCGTCATTGAGGCTGACGGCGGCAGTGACGGCGCCGCCGTCGGTGCCGTACAGGTCATCGTCCCCTCAGATCTAGATCAGAAATTCCCCTGGCTGGCGGGTACGAGCCTGTCCGACACCGGCGTGGGGTGTTTGGCTCTCGAAGGTCCGTCGACGGCGGCCGTACAGTCGTTGCCAGTCAAAGCTCCTGCCGCCGCCACCGTCGTCGCCTCCCCCGCCACCTCCGAGATCGGGATGCTGACAGTGACCGGCGAGCTGGGACGCGGCGCTCAAGGCACTGTTTACCGGGGCCGTTGGAAAGGCATTGAGGTGGCGGTGAAGAGCCTGCTGCTGCACCCCGCAACGGTGCGGAGGGGGGGCTCAAGCGTTGGTGACTGCGAGGGCGGTTGTTGCGGTCGTGATGATGATGGTGATGATGATGTGCTCGGATGCTTCGGTCCAACTCTGTTAGGGGTTTGAGGTTGGCGGGGACATCACGCCACAACCCCTACAAATCCTTAACACCACCACCAGCAACAGCAACAGCACTATCACCACCACCACTACTCGCCCTCCGTTTGCATGTCGTCCGCCAGTAACAAATTACCCGCCTGCACTGCTGCTGCTGCTGCTGCTGCTGTACACTAACCAACATGCCAACGAACCCAAACCCCGAACACCTTACCCTCACGCCTTCAGCCGGCGGCGGTTCAGCGAGGTACCGGCGGCAGCCGTGGCGCCGCCGCCTCCGCCGCTGTTCCCCCGTGGGCGGGTTCCGCCGCCCCCGTCGATCTGGCCCACCACCGCGCCCTGCGTGAGGCCGCTCTGAGTGTGGCCGCCTCCCAGCACCCCAATGTGGTGGCCACGTACCACGTGGACGTGAGCCCCCTGGGGGACCTGGAGGGGGAGGCGGGTGGGGGCGTGGCGTCGTACTCCTCGCCGTACTGGGGGGCCTGCTGCTGGAAGGTCACCCTCATTTCTCAGGTGGGGGTTTGGGGTGGGGGGATGGAGGGGGGTTGGTCCTTAGGGGCCCGGGGGTGATGGGAGGGGAGGTTTGTGTATGTATGTATGTATGTGTGTATGTATGTATGTATGTGTGTGTGTATATTTACGTGAGGGGTTGGGTTTGCCGGTAGCTGTGTTCTCTCCGCTGTGACTTGNGGGTTGTGAAGGGCGGTTTCTCTGCTGCCGGGTTAGCTTTCCTTTCTACCCACTCGTTAGTGTGCTGCGACCGTTAGTCGCCGACCGACCAACCACCTGCTGCAACTGCCCAACCTCCCCCCCTCCCCTCCCTTCCCCTCCCCCCCTTCCCCCCCTCCCTTGAACCCCCCACGCGAGGGACAGCTCTGCGATGGCGGCAGCCTTCGCAGTGCGCTGTCCTCCGGGCTACTGGCGGACTGGAGCTCTTCCGCCGCCGCCGTTGGCAGAGTGGGGGGGGGATCAGAGCCAGCAGCAGCAGCTGCAGCCGCCGCGGAGCCGATGTTACCCCCGGATGTAGCCGTTACAGCCGTTACGGTCGATTCCGGTGCTCAGGGCGCAGCTGCTGGGGTTTCTACCGCCGACGTAACGCCAACAAGGGCTGTCGGCCTCGGGCTCTCGATGGATGGTACGGCGGCGGTGGCGCCGCCGTCGCCGCCGTCGCATCAGCAACATCAGCAGCAGCAGCTACAGCCGCAAGTTCTGCTGCTTCTGGCGCTGGACGTTGCTTCAGGGTTGGCACAGCTCCATAGTGCCAGTATCGTACACGGCGACATCAGCAGCAGCAACGTGCTGCTGACGTCATTGTCGGGCAGTGGGCATGGCAGCGGAGTTGTCGGCGGCGGCAGCAGCAACTACTGCAGCAGCGGCGGGGGCGCCGCCGCCGCCGCCGCCGCCGCCGCCTTCCTCTCCGCCGGCACTGGTGTCACCCAGTCTATCAGCGGTGATCCTTGCAGCCTCACTTCCAAAAACTGTACGACAGGCAGCGCCGCCGCTGCCGTCGCACCCGGCGGCGACGGTGGCGGCGGCGGCGGCGGCAGCGTTGATTGTACGCTGCTCAAACCAGAACAAATTCACACCGGAGACGATTGGCTGAGCAACTCATCTGACGCATTGGCGCTCCTGGTGGAGTTGCCGTACCAGAGGGTACGGCGCGCAAGGTACGTCAAAAGTGCGGCAAACGACTCGGTGGGCATGGCGGCGGCGGTGACGGCGGCGCCGGCGGCGGCGTCGACGGGAGTGGGGCGGTACGGCTACGTGGCCAAGCTATGCGATTTTGGCTTGGCGGAGGTGATGCCGCCGGGGCAGTCGTACATCTCCACGCCTTGCAGGTGTGTGTTTACATGGCGTGGGGGCAGCTTAGGGCCGTGCGTCCGAGGACGATAAGGGGACGGGAAGAAATGGACCCTGTAGAAGGCAGCAGTTTGGCCCGAGGACGGGGCGGGCCCCGCGGCCCTTAGCCGCACACAGCCGCTAACAGCTGCGGAAGGGACCAGACAAGCTTTTGCTCCTAAGTCCATAAGTCCATATCCCGCGTAACTCAAAAATGATTGAGGACACAGAAACATGATCTCGTTACGCCTCCCGTAGTTCGTGTTCTTTATACAAACTTTTATTAAAAAGCTTATATGGCGATGGAGAGTCATTGATATGTACGGGTCAATGTTCGGGGCTCTGTGCGGCGGCTGGAAGGACGGTACGGTACACGCGTGGGGAAGTACATGGTAGGGAAGTACATGGTGGGGAAGTACGGCGTGTTTGGAGAAGCGTGTTTGGGGTTGTGTGTGTGGGGGGGGAAGTGGGGTAAAGGTAAAGCCACGGGGGTCCACTTTCCATACCCTCTCTTTTAACTGCCTTTAGCTTCGTCCTCCCCCCCCCCTACTGGTCAGTTCTGCTTCTTGTACACTCTTTCCTTGGCATCAGCTTCACTTACTCGCGGTGGTTCGTCTTACCCCCTCCTCCCCTCTGCATATGCATATGCATACACACCCTGCCTTCCTTCATGGCATGTGTCTCTTCCCTACAGACGCTCCGGCCTCTACACGGCCCCGGAGGTAGCTTTGGAGGGGCGCATAGGGCCCGCAAGTGATGTGTATTCATGGGCCGTACTGTGCTGGGAGATGGCCATGGGCATGCCGCTGCCAGCGGCGCTGGCGGCGCCGTCAGGCGCTTCCGTACGCGCCTGGCTAGCTGCCGCTGACGCCACACTGCCAGCGTCACACTGCCAGCATCACAGCCGCGAAATCGTCGACGGCGCCGCTGATGACGCTGGTGACGACGTACCGGCGGCGTCAGCGAGTGCGCTGCCGCCGTCGCTCCTGACGTGGCCTCCCCATGTGCCGCACGCGCTGGCGGTGCTGGTCGGGGAGTGCCTGACGGCCGATCCGGCGACTAGGCCCACCGCGAAGGATGTCGTACAGCGGCTGGAGCACATCATAACCAGTATGTAGGGCCCCCATCACGGGAGCTGGGTCAGGGGGGTTGGGGTGGGGGGGGGTGGGGGGGAGAGGTCCGGCATGGTGACCGCGCGCTTTTGTCACGGGCCTCTCGACCGATTGGGGGGCTGATGGTGATCTTTCCTGGTGATGTTTCCTTGGACGGGGGTTGCAGTCCCTTTCCTGTCTTGGGTTCCTTTGTATCGTGTCATAATTATTGGATACTAGTATTACCTGCTTTCTTTTTGAGCGATAGGGTGTAACGTTTTTCTTTTTATGCGTTTTTACAACAAAATCTTGTGCTATTGCCCCCGTTGTTACACCTTATTGAGGCATTGGGTGAAGTAACGCGACTCCAGAAGATATCTAACACACATTCAAACAGACACACATGCGCTTAATGATTTTGAGTGCATAAGTTTCAAGGGATCTCAGCGTTCTCGCTTATTTGGGCCGCAGTTTGGGATCAGGTTGGGACGGAGGATTCGGGACCATTGCAATCATTTAATAATTGAGATTTGCTTCGGTCTCTGTTGACGGAGTAGTGGTAGTTTTGGAGTTATGTTGTTGTGCTCCGTCATCTCATTAATGTTGGCTACTGCTCTTTCCCCACCCACCCCCGGGGGGGGGCTTGTGGGGACCCCCTGGTGGTGTGTTTCTCCTGTGTCTGTTGGGTTTCTCTCTCCCCCCTTTTTCCCCCCTCACCACCACTGGCCGTCATCGAGGGGGCTTCAGGTTTCGTTGGGTAGCAGGTTGTGTGGGCGGTCGTGTGCGTGCATTGCATTGCAGCGCAGCGCAGCAGGGCAGGGCATGGGAATGGGATTTGGCGGACACATACATTAATACGTACATACATATATACGCACACGCATGTACATTTGGGAATTGCGCGTCGTACGCACGCGCCCGCACGTGAATTTGTTTACGCACGGTCGACAGTTAGTTGGACAGTTAGCAGTTGGTCAGTTGTTAACTAATCAGTCAGGTAAGGCATGCTGGCGGATTGTGCAAATTTCGGCGCCTGGCCGGTCTACCTCTGTCATGATGGTGCGTGTTGGGCCTCAGCTAAGAAGGATAGAGCAGTGAGATGGACAGACAAACAAACAGACAGACAGACGTCGCGGATACCTCTACCACGTTCGTAGCCTCATGTCTGGGGGGGGGGAGGAGGTCTGTCTGCAACATCCCGACGTAATCCCCCACGTGATGCGTATATCATCATAGCATGCAGGGGCCGGAGGATACGCATAGTTTTTCATGGCATGGCATGGCATGGCATGGCATGGGCCGCATCGCGTCATGTGGCGGCCTCCGTGGGCGTTATTGTTGTTGTTATTGTTACAGTTGTTACCGTTAGCAAGGTAACGGTCGGCTTGGGTATGAGTAGTGTGGTAGTAATTGTCGTTATTGTCGTTGTGTGCCTGCACATGAATAGGGTTGGTCGGAAGTTTAGGTTTAGAAAATAATTTAGATGCCATCTAATTATATTTCTATATAGATTTTAGATGAGGCCATCTAAACCCTTTAGGTGGGCATCTAAACGTATCTAGTCCATCTAATGCCTATCTAAAGGCCGGTGACCGGATCCAGACCGTTCAAACGTGTTGAAGGTAACTTTAGTGTCATATCCTTGCTCCGCTCTATTACATACACAAATAGACGTAAAAATACACAATGGCAGAACCAGGACCCCAAAAGCCGATCACATACAAATACAACCACCAGACTTTCGACGCGCCACAGTACGCAGCTAAGCCCGACAGCTTTGCATCCCAATGCGGGCGTGTCCCGCATGTTGGCATGTGTACTTTGGTGGTTCCGTTTGCGGTTGGGCCGACGGTTGGGCCGCGGGGCGCCTAATTACACCCCGTGGCGCCATCCGACACGCGTCTGTAGAGCGCCCATAGGGGTTCGCCGTGTTCCCAGTGTCGAGCGGCCCAAAAAATTATTGGAAAATCCAGGAAAAGATAAAGCCGCATCGTGTGCAAAATTTCAGGTCAAAATTCCACCGTTTAGGCAGTTTTCCGTTTGGCCATCTAAAGATTTACCTAATTAGATTAGGTATCTAATTAGATTTCTAATTAGATACTTTTTCCATCTAAAGATTTTGCCAACCCTACACATGAATTTGTACGGCGACCCAGTTTGAGGTACAGCGGTTGGTGTATGTATGTATGTTGTTACAGGGTGGCTAACTTCGCCAGCAGCCCCCTTTCCCGGGGCAGTCCCTGCTCTCCCCTGCTAGAGGGGCACCCTAATCCGTCACCCCATCCGACTTCAGAATGTATTCGTTGGGTTCGGCAACTCACCACCAGCATCCAACCAAATCTAGCGGATCAACGGCGCATCAACTTAGTTCCTGGTCAGCTCGCAAGTCGGTATTATCACGTCCTAAATCGTCCATATGATGGGGGGGCTACCTCCCATTTCAACACTCTTCAAACACCCGAGGAGCCGGCAGGCGGATTTGAATCCGGGTCGGCCGGGAGCAGAAGTCAGGCCTTATGTGTATATGACGTGTGAAACAGGGGGGTATAGTTCGCCCGTGGCAGCTACCCTGCGAAATCCTGCCTTCCCCGGCATTTCGGGGCACCCTCATCCAGTCACCCTAGTCAACTTCTCAGTGGATCGCTCAGGTTCCGCACCCCACCAGCATCCAACGGAATCCGCCGGGTCGACAGCGGCCCTTAACCCTCGCGGGTTAACTTAATCCCAGGTCACCACCGTCACCACCATCGGAAGAACATTGACCCTAATGGGTATCGATCCCGGGATCTCCCGGGGGCAATGGTTGCGCCTTACCAGTAGTGCCAAACCCTGTATGTATGTATGTATGTATGTATGTATGTATGTATGTATGTATGTATGTATGTATGTATGTATGTATGTATGTATGTATGTATGTATGTATGTATGTATGTATGTATGTATGTATGTATGTATGTATGTATGTATGTATGTATGTAGGGTATGTATGTAGGGTATGTATGTAGGGTGTATGTAGGGTGTATGTATGTGCTCAGGGAGTGCACGTGTTCCCCTTGAATGTTGCGTCGCGATGTTCGGCACCATCGCACCATCATATGTTCCAGCTCGCTTTAAAATGTTTTAAGGGCTTGCGCCGCCTAGCGAACATACGGCATCCGTACGGCACGGTACGGCCGGCATCCGTAAGGTACGACTCCGCCCACATGCTTGATAAAATCTTTGCGTTCATTGTGGATGGCATACTGTTTGTGTCTAGGGTTGTAATGGCGCGTACTATTGGGGGTCTTGCGCGGCTGGATGTGATTCAACGGCTTGTAACGGTTGACCGATGACTCCATGTGCGGGGGATGCTCGCGCCTTGAAAGCCCCACGAATGGCTTTGATGCAAAGATGCGACGGGTCATTTGTTAAATTATTTAGCTGTTCATCGCGGTTCTCAGGTGCTCGGACCTCAGTTCCTGGCTTGGTAGCATTTGCTCGGACTTCAAAACCAAAAGGCACAAAGCATGAAAGGAACAAATGTCGAGAATATGTATGACTGATCAATACAAACCAACATCGCTGGCGACTTATTGCCTGAGAATGTGTTGGAACTGAATCAAACGGATCACCATTTTTTTATACATGGAGTCGCCGGCGACGGCGACTGCGACGTGGCGTGCAATGCGGTGGAATCTGTGCCGAGCCTCTCAGCGCAATTGAATAGACCGCTGGGAGTTCGTCCAGCAAAGAGCCCTGGTGCCTGGACGCTGCCATGAAAGATCTGGTAGATCGCGCCAACACTTGAAGTAATTTGAGCGGCCGTGACGGAATGACAAGGAGGTTGTACATGCACGTTGGCTCATTATAGTCTAGAAGGCGAGCGTGACCTCCTTTCCCTGCAGCGAGGCGCGTTGAAAAGTCCCGCCAAGTAAGGCAGCGGTGGGCAGGCGGCCATGTTACGTTGGAATCCAAAAGGATGGACAGTGCATGTGCGCATGTGTCAGATACTGTTGAAGAATATTTCGTAATCCTCTGCGTCTTATTCCGCTCATGGACTGACTAGAGGGGCTCTCCGCCTACGGCGAGGATTCGTGTACATTGTTAGTAGTGACTGCATGCTCGGTGATGACTGGATGCTGCATGCTGTTACTAACATGCTTGAGGCAATTTGGGGCCGCGTACCTGCGCCCCACTGACGTGCTTGCAGCAATCTCGGCACATAATGTTGTCAACTTGCATCCTCTTGCCTTTGGAAAGGTCAACGATGGTAGAAGAACACATAGAAACAAAACAATGTATAGACGATGCCCTTCGCATGACAAGCAAGGGCCCCGGAAATACTGCGATAATGAGCCGACCAAGGTGTAAATTCGTTAAGCGAAATGGCCACGTCAGGGCGCGTGGAGCCTTGTATCAGCAGTCTCACCAGTCACGCCACGGCTGCCGGCGCTCACATCATCGCGTCGGTTTTCTCTTTCGTTTCTTGTGCGTATGTGAGAGGTTGCGATCTACATCGGGAAGTTTTTAGTGTTCGCGGGAAGAGTTTGAGCTGTCAGCGGGAAACTTTCGAAAGACGGCAGGAAGTAAGCTTGTGCGCTCGCTAACTGGGAGACCCGGCACGTTGCTCTAAGGCGCTGCGTGCTGGGGAGGACGATGATGGTCCACCACGTAACCGGACTAATAACGATTTACCGTCCATGGGCTCCCCGGCTTTTACGGACACCCGTGCGGAACTTGTAACTTGATAACGCTGCTAGGCTCTGCTGTATGCTGCCTGGCTGACCAGCTTTCGTGTGATCCCCAGTCGTTTACGCTCTGTGGCAGGGTTTGCTTTGAATAGCAGTTGTCTTCATGCAAGCCTTTGACTGAACCTGGCCTTTCCAAATGGTCCAAATCTCGCTTAAACCTTTTTCATTCTTCTTCTTTACATCCATCTGAACCGATTTGCGATTTGCTTAGGTCATCCAATTGAACCAAGGACTCTCCGTAGGTTATCTGCTGAACGTGTTGTTTGACAGCTCGGTGGTTTACTCCGTCGTATGTGTTGTCAAGAAATGCCTTTTGGTGCTGTGCTAGTACCCTTAGACACAATTCAACCATATCAGAACCCGCCTCGCAGAATGTTCAGAAGAAATACCTTTTTGGCTGCCAGCTGCTTCACTGATGCGCACACTTGGCCCAGGTTGCCGTGACGTCAGTTCACACGAGGTGAAGCCAGCCGCTCGATATGCTGCTGACGTGTTACGTCAAATGGCCGAGATGACAGGCGGTTCCTTGTTTTGGCTGTGACAGCACGCGCTTTGGACAAGTCCGCGCCCTTCAGCTGATGCGCTGCGTTTCTCACATTGCTGAGTTAACCACCTCTAACATCATGAAAAAATAATCGAAATCATCATTTTGATCATTATGAAGGGAGGCTTTCGCATGACTGCTAGCGATGGTGACGATGAACGCGATCGGCCATCCGCTCACCGCCCAAGCACACGCGCCTTTTTGAGCCGCCTGTACCCAACCTCCGCACCACCGCTCTTCATGACAAGTGATAGCAGAAACAACCACCAACGGAAATCCGACACATCAAAAGCTGGGTCTTGTCGCGCTTCTCGGGCAGCGACCGACGATTCCAAGGGACATTTTGTCGAAGGGCCCAAAGCAGCTCCAGCCGACGCGGCGGGACGTGTAGGGGCAGCGGAGGCTCCGCCAGGCTCCGCCGCCGTGGCCGGTGCGTCAGCAGCGCCTGCCGTACCTTTAAGGGTAGTAAGGGCCGGCGCGAATCCATCAAGGCAAAGCTCGCCGCAGCGGCGCCGTCAGCTGTCCGCCGCCGCCGCCGCCGCCGCCTCACTGACGGCACCGTCAGCAGCGCCGTCTCAGTCCAGTGCCGGCGCCTATTCCGAATCCCACCATCATTACCAAGATCAACAGCAACAACATCATCGACCCATTTCGTGTACGGCAGAGCCTCCGCCGCCGCCACATCCACCGCCGCCGCCGCCGCCCCAGCAGCAGCAGGCGCAATTGCAATCGCAATCGCAACCATCACCACCACCACCACCACAACAGCGCGATTCTTTGCAGGCAGGGCTCTTTGAGAATCACCGCTACCATCATTACCGCCAGAAGCAGCGCCAGCAGCAGCAGCAGCTACAATCACCGCCGCCGTCGCCGCCGCCACAACAACAACAGCAGCAGCAGCAGCAGCAGCTGGCGGAGAAAAGCAACATGGGAACGGGTGGTGGTGTGCATCCGCGGCAGGTGGACACGCCTCATATCGTACGTGACGGCGACCGCACTGGTTTCCTTCATGGGGCTGTAGGTGGCTGTAGCAGCAACTACGACACGGAGCAGCCAGCCTGCTACAACCATGAGACTGCCGTGCTTACGCACAGCCCTACCGCCGCTGGCGGCTGCGCCGTGGATTTCCCTACTGGCGGCGGTAGTGGCGGTAGTGGCGGCGGCGCTGCGGCGTCTGGCGACGGCGCTGGCTACAGCCTCAAGTCCAGGGTTCAGCACATGCAGCAGGATGGTGGCGGCGGCAGCGGCGGTGCGGGTACGGCAGCGATGGCGAGGCTAAAGGGGCAATCGGGTGCCGTGCAGGAGGTGGGTAGGCATGAGGCACCGGAGGGTCGCGGCACTGGCTGTGGTTTCGGAGTGGTGAGCAAAATGGGTGCCCTCGTCGCCGGCGGCGGCAACGATGGCAGCGGCGGCGGTGGCGGCGCCGCCGCCACCGTCGGTGGTGTAGCTGGTGGCGGCGACGGCGTTGCGGGGCAACGTTGCTTCCCTGGTGCTGCAAAAAGTGGCGTCGCATGGCCGACGGGACCGGCGCGACCCGCGGGTCATGAGGACAGCGGCACTTTGCCCAGGAAGGAAGTTGTGCGTCGTACGTTGTGTAGCAACATCATCGAATGCTCACTCGCGCGGCATGTGGGTAGCGTCACGGGCGAGCGGCAGCCGGCAGCCGTCCCCCGGAACGCCGTCCGCGGTACGGCGGATGGCACTGAGCTCGTAATGTCCCCCGCAACAACCACCGTCGGCGCCGCCGCTAACGGCGTTGTACATGCCTGCGATATCGCACAAGCACCGAACGCCCATGTGCGCTACCTCGGCGGGCAGGTACGAACGGCGGCGGCGACGGCGGCTTCGGATGACGCGCTTCGACGGCTCGCTGTGGCGGCGGCGGCGCAGGCCGACGCTGACGCCGACGACGGCGACGACGACGGCGACGCCGAGACGGACATTGAGTTGGAGACAACGTCAAGAGGGGAATCTGGGAAACGACGGGCGGCGTCCGCCGTTGGAGCGCCGCCCGTTGGACCGGTGGGCGCTGAGGATTGTGGAGTGCTCCTAATTAGGGAAGAGGCGCGCGGCATGGTGGCGGGAAGCGGGCTGGGCCAGCTGAATGAAAGACCCACGGGTCAGCCTCCATCGTCTGCTCAGATTATGTCCGCAGTCGACCCGGATGACCCGAACCTGGCGGCGATTGTGGCGGCGCTACAGGTGGCGGCAAGTGTGTCGCCGGCTGCCGTACGGCAACTGCTGCCGCCGCCGCTGCCGTCGCCGCAAGAGCAGTTACAGCAGGCGCATAAACGAATGGAGAAGGCGGAGGAAGAGGAGGAAGAGGAAGCGGCTGGCAGCGGCGGCGGGAGTCCCGGGGCCCTGGTAGCGGAGGAGCCGCCAAGAGGGCTTACCAAACGGGGCTTATGCGACTTCAACGGCAGCGCCGCCACCACCATGCCAGCTGACGCGCCAGCCGCCGCTACAATGACCAGTCGGCGGCGGCGGCGCCAAGGGACACCCGGCGGAGGCGACGCCTCGCCGGCAGCACCGCCGCCGACGGGTCGGCGTACCGCCGCGGCAGCCTCCGCGACCCCTACGCCGTACATGAGGGCTGGCGGCGGGCAGGAGCCCTCCGTAGTAGCGCTACTGCCGTCGGCGGCGACAACCGCAGTGATGCAGCTACACACACCCCTTCTACTACCACAGCAATCGCCGCCGCCGCCGCCCCCGCCACCGTCATCATCACCACCGTCGCTGCAAAGCGCTCAGCTACCCCCCACCTCGAGGTTGCCGCTGCCGCCGCTGGACGGAGAACGTCCGTCTCAGGCACTGCCGCCCATGCAACAGCGAACCACAGAAGTGCAACAGCTGCAGCAGGGCCCTATGTCCTGGCCAAACGCTGCTACCGTGCCGTACAATCCTTGGGACACCCGTGCTGCGGTCAACGCCGCCGCCGGTGCTGTGTTTTCAAAGCAGCTGGCGTCGGTCGCACGGCGGCCATCGCCGACGTTGGAGCCGCCGCTGCCGCTACCCCTTCCCATTGCGTCAACGACCGCCGCCGCCGTCACCACCGTCGCCAACCATACTCTGGTAAACGGCCGTCAGGGACCCTCTGACGATGCCGACGGCGGTGGCGCCGCTAGAACGGGTCGTCGTACCATGCCGCCAGACCTCCGCTTTGCCGGCGACGCCGCCGCGCCGGCGTCGCCGTTGATATTCCCCGGACCTCTCCCTGGGGTTGCGGCAGCTGGCGGCGGCGGCGGCGGCGGCGGCAACGGCAGCGGCAGCAGCAGCGGCTGCCATGACAACGGTCAGCCGTTGTCCGTTCCGCTGCAGTTGGAGAGACAGAGCTACCCAGGGCAGCAGCAGCCTAGGTTGGCGCCGCTGCCGCCGCCAGCTGCCGCCGCCGCCGCGGCGGCTGCTGCTGCTGCGGCCAATGCGGCGGCGGCGGCAGCCTCTGCTTCGGAGCAGCACCGGCTGTTGGGCTGCCTGGGCCGCCTGTGTAGCCAGGTGCAGGATCTGGCGAGGCTGAGTACGGCACATGCTCGTCATGCCGTAGCCCTGATGGCACCCGTGGTGGTGCAGGTGGGCTGCAGGTGGTCGGTTAGTAAGGAACTGTTGTCCTGTCTAGGCACCTAGGCAACCATGAACGATTATTGCTGCACCGCTTTGGGAATCTGAGGCACATGAAGGTACATGAAGGCGCAAAACCTTAAAATCCTAAAACGTTTAAACCCTAAAACCTGAATTTTGTAATCCGAACATGAGGAAGGGCGTTAGTCGGGTCACGTAGAGTAGCGGAGATCTTGCGGGATATCTGTATGTGTGTATGTGTATGCGACACAGGTTTAGGGCTGGGAAGGAGAGCCGTTGTGGAAGGCTTGCCAGGGCATGAGCATGCGGTGACGAGGCTGTACTGCAAAATACACTGCACACAATCCCCATGGCGCCCCCGCCGTGCAACCCCCACCCCCTTCCCCCAGGTGCAACTGGCGGTGGCGGTGGCGGCGGCGCCCTCCCTCCTCAGCTCCCTGTGCCGACCGCCGCCGCCACCATCACTCTTGCACCTGCAGCCGCCGCAGCAGCCGCAGTCACTGCCACAAGAGCTGCTCGTGCAGCAGAAACAGCAGCAGCAGCACCTAGGCCATGATGAGCCACCGCCGCCGCCGCCGCCGCAGCAGCAGCAGCAACAGCAACAGCAGCAGATGCAGAGCCCTTACCCAGGTCTACAACACCAACAACATCAACATCAACACCAGCCACAGCAACAGCAGCGGCTGCTACTGCTACAGAATCTGCGGCTCCCCCCCCCTCCCCCCCCTCCGCACCCCCAAGATGAGGCCCAGGGGTTCACACCCCCCCGCCACCACCACCCCCCCCGGGGGGTACCTCGCCAACCTACCAACAGCCCGATGCCGCAGCAACAACATCTGCAGCACCAACACCAACACCAACACCAACACCAACACCAACACCAACACCACCAGCAGCAGCAGCAGCAGCAGCAACAACAACAACAGTTACCACCGCTACGGCCCCTCCCGCCCGCCACACTACTGCCACCAAACCACAAGGTACCGCAGCAGCTCCAACAGCAACAGCAGCAACATAACGGGCTAGTGCTGCAGCACCAACAGCAGCCTGTACCGCCACCGACGCCGCTACAGCTACAACAGCAACTGCAGCAGCAGCAGCAGCAGCAGCAGCTACAGCAGCAGACGCACATGCTGGGGAAGCTGCGCACCAACGCCATGTCGACAGGTCATTATGTCGTACCCCGCAATGATACCCCCAATTCGTTGAGTCCCCTTCGGAACGGCACTGGAAGCCCCAGCGGGGGCCAACACGTAATGTACGGCATCTATGACAGTGTTGCCGCGGGATCGGAAGCTGCCGGTACCTTTAACCCGCACGTCCCCAGCGGCGGCGGCGGCGGGGCTAGGGCTTTCCTTTCCACTGCAGCGACGAGCAATACGGCAGCAGCGGCGGCGGCGGCAACAGCAGCTCCGCCGCACGCGCCGTCGTCGTACGGCAACTACGATGATGTTGGCGCGGTCTCTCGTGCCGAAGCGCGGGAGGTGCAGAGCAGGGATGGCCTGGCGGCGGCGGCGGCGGCGGCTACGGCGGCGGCGGCGGCAGTGGCGGCGGCACCTGTAGCATCGAGAGAATGCCGAGATGACGCGACTAAGGAAGACGCGGACGCGGACGCGGCGACAGACGGACAGACGGCGATGGAGGCGAGCACGGACACAGATCGCCCTGGTTTGAAACGTAAGGCCCCCAGCGACGACTTCGAAGGTGGGTTACATCATCCGGCGATACGGAGGTCGCGGAATGCGAACGGGAGGATCTGGGGCCCATTCGACCCGCGTGCCGTGTCCGATGGCGACGGCGGCGGCAGCGGCGCAGCCGCAGCCAGCGGCGGTAGCACGGGCGACGGCGCCGCCGCAGCCGCAACATGCTCCAGGGATAGCGTTAAGCCGCCGCTGCTGCCGGCGCCTCCGCACCAGCACCAGCAACAGCAGCAACAGCAGCAGCGGCCGAAGCCCGGGGAAGCCGCAATGGCGGCGCCGCCACCGGGTCGCTCACATTGTACGGGTGCCGCGCTGGCGGCAGGAGCCGCTGACGTGGGTAAGACGGCGTCCTCCCCAACCGAAGTGAGATGCAGTACATTGCCCGCCGCTGGGCCCGATGGTGCAGCAGGTTCCGGAGCTGGTGGTCCTCGGAGCGCCGTGTTGATTGGGGGAGGAGAAGGAGGCGGTGGCGGATCGCCCGAGAGCGACGCACAAAGAGATGGCGACAACGAGGATGAGGACACCGGGGCG